AGTAAAGGGGGAGAGGTCTTTTTGGGATGTTGGTCTGAAGAACAAGTCTATTGATAGGTGATTTTTGTTCAATAAGGGGATGGCATCAAGTGATCTGCAAAAATACCTAGCCGCGCAATACGAGAACGAGTGTTAGGTGCTTTCCCGTTGGCTAGCACAAAGGCAACGTTGCAAAGCAAATGAGGAGATGGGGTGCTTTGCCGTGCAGACTGGATTTGACGGTGGCGATGATGCATGGGCCACGGAGTTTTTTGCTCTGTGCAGGGACAACCAGCGAGACCCTGTTCGAAATGGCATTGACACGGCACTCTTTGCCAAATTGGTGAATGATCAGTCTGACCTGGGCATCTATTGCAAAGATGATGCTGGCCGCGAAATAGTCCTGTTTTGGGGAACGTAAACCCACTCTTCTGTGCGAACGAAATGAATTCATTTGCCTCTGTACTTGGCACCCAGGATGAGTTGAAGGAGATGCTCAAAACTGCCCCAGCGCGGGTGCAAACTGCAGGCGCTGCTGCTAATGCAGACCTACCAGCGCCAAAGCCTTTGCCCCAAGAGCAAAAACCAGCTGCGCGTGTTGATCCAAACAACTTGCCAACCAATCGGAGTTCGGTGCAAGAAAGGTCTGAGCTGATCGCTTCTGTTTTTAGAGCCTTGGACAGAACAGGAAGGGGAGTGCTCAGCGCAGAGGAGATGCTACCGTTTGCCACTCACACTGGCTTTGACGGCTCGGACCAGGACTGGCAGACAGAGTTCGGCTTGCTGGCCAAAGAGTGCAACAGCCCCCAGGGCATTCCGCTGAGGGAGTTTGAGCGGCTGGCCAATGACAAGTCAGATGCCGGCATTTACTGCTCAGATGACGAGTTGCGCAGCTTGCTGGCAAAGGTTCCGGTGCCAAAGCCAGCCGTTCCAACAGCAGCACCGCCTGCAGCCAGCCCGCCATCCTCTCAGCCCAGACCCGGTGTGCATGTTGACCCAAACAACCTGCCAAACAACCGAAGTTGGGCGCAAGAAAGGTCTGAGCTGATCGGTTCTGTGTTCAGAGCCTTGGACAGAACAGGAAGGGGAGTGCTCAGCGCAGAGGAAATGCTACAGTTTGCCACTCACACTGGCTTTGACGGCTCAGACCAGGACTGGCAGACAGAGTTCGGCTTGCTTGCCAAAGAGTGCAACAGCCCCCAGGGCATTCCGCTGCGGGAGTTTGAGCGAATGGCCAACGACAAGTCAGATGATGGCTGCTACTGCTCAGATGACGAGTTGCGCAGCTTGCTGGCAAAGATTTCGGTGCCAAAGCCAGCCGTTCCAACAGCAGCACCGCCTGCAGCCAGCCCGCCATCCTCTCAGCCCAGACCCGGTGTGCAGGTTGACCCAAACAACCTGCCAAACAACCGAAGTTGGGCGCAAGAAAGGTCTGAACTGATCGGTTCTGTGTTCAGAGCCTTGGACAGAACTGGAAAGGGAGTGCTTAGCGCAGAGGAGATGCTACCGTTTGCCACTCACACTGGCTTTGATGGCTCGGACCAGGACTGGCAGACAGAGTTCGGCTTGCTGGCCAAAGAGTGCAACTGCCCCCTTGGCATTCCGCTGCGGGAGTTTGAGCGAATGGCCAACGACAAGTCAGATGATGGCTGCTACTGCTCAGATGACGAGTTGCGCAGCTTGCTGGCAAAGATTTCGGTGCCAAAGCCAGCCGTTCCAACAGCAGCACCGCCTGCAGCCAGCCCGCCATCCTCTCAGCCCAGACCCGGTGTGCAGGTTGACCCAAACAACCTGCCAAACAACCGAAGCTGGGCGCAAGAAAGGTCTGAACTGATCGGTTCTGTGTTCAGAGCCTTGGACAGAACTGGAAAGGGAGTGCTCAGCTCAGAGGAGATGCTACAGTTTGCCACTCACACTGGCTTTGACGGCTCGGACCAGGACTGGCAGAGAGAGTTCGACATGCTGACCAGGGAGTGCAACAGCCCCCTAGGGATTCCTTTGCGGGAGTTTGAGCGGCTGGCCAACGACAAGTCAGATGATGGCTGCTACTGCTCAGATGACGAGTTGCGCAGCTTGTTGGCAAAGGCTTCGGTGCCAAAGCAGGCCGCGCTAAAGCCGGCAGCCCTAAAGCCGGCAGCGCTAATGAACAGCCTGCCGTCCTCTCAGCCCAGACCAGCTCTACATATGCCGAGCCAGCAGTCAGGGATTCAGCCCGGCAGCCGCGCAGAGCTGATCCGTTCCGTGTTCAGAGCCTTGGACAGAGCAGGAAAGGGAGTGCTCAGCTCAGAGGAGATGCTGCAGTTTGCCACTCACACTGGCTTTGACGGCTCGGACCAGGACTGGCAGAGCGAGTTCGACATGCTGACCAGGGAGTGCAACAGCCCCCAGGGCATTCCGCTGCGGGAGTTTGAGCGGCTGGCCAACGACAAGTCAGATGATGGCTGCTACTGCTCAGATGACGAGCTGCGCAGCTTGTTGGCAAAGGCTTCGGTGCCAAAGCAGGCCGCGCCAAAGCCGGCAGCGCCAAAGCCGGCAGCACTAATGAACAGCATGCCGTCTTCTCAGCCCAGACCAGCTCCGCAGCCCACACCAGCTCCACAGCCCAGACCAGCTGAGCATGTGCCAAGCCAGCAGCCAAACATTCAGCCCGACAGCCGCGCAGAGCTGATCCGTTCCGTGTTCAGAGCCTTGGACCGAACAGGAAGGGGAGTGCTCAGCGCAGAGGAGATGCTACAGTTTGCCACTCACACTGGTTTTGACGGCTCGGACCAGGACTGGCAGGCAGAGTTTGGCTTGCTGGCCAAAGAGTGCAACAGCCCCCAGGGCATTCCGCTGCGGGAGTTTGAGCGGCTGGCCAACGACAAGTCAGATGATGGCTGCTACTGCTCAGATGACGAGTTGCGCAGCTTGTTGGCAAAGGCTTCGGTGCCAAAGCAGGCCGCGCCAAAGCCGGCAGCGCCAATGAGCAGCATGCCGTCTTCTCAGCCCAGACCAGCTCCGCAGCCCACACCAGCTCCACAGCCCAGACCAGCTGAGCATGTGCCAAGCCAGCAGCCAAACATTCAGCCCGACAGCCGCGCAGAGCTGATCCGTTCCGTGTTCAGAGCCTTGGACCGAACAGGAAGGGGAGTGCTCAGCGCAGAGGAGATGCTACAGTTTGCCACTCACACTGGTTTTGACGGCTCGGACCAGGACTGGCAGGCAGAGTTTGGCTTGCTGGCCAAAGAGTGCAACAGCCCCCAGGGCATTCCGCTGCGGGAGTTTGAGCGGCTGGCCAACGACAAGTCAGATGATGGCTGCTACTGCTCAGATGACGAGTTGCGCAGCTTGTTGGCAAAGGTGTCAATAGCACATCCCACGGCGAACGCAGCTTCGGAAACCCGACGAACCTTGATTCACGCGGTGCCTTGGCAGCTAAGCCTTTTTTCGGGAAAAATAGGCTGAAGCCTGCACATCCGGTTGGTAAACTGGCGCAACTTTGTTTTTTTTCACAAAAAGAACCCCTACCCGAATATATATCTGCCATCAAGCTCTGTGACTTGACACCTCGCACTTAGGTGTTTGTTGCCTTGAACAAGAATGGCCTGGGCATGCTGTCTGAGAACGAGATGAGAGTGTTTGCTGTTCACGCAGGCTTCGATGGGTCTGATGAAGAGTGGCGCCAGGAATTTCAGGACCTCTTGGCATCACGTGATCGAGACCATGGGCTATCCGTTCTCGACTTTGAGCACCTCGTGAAACTCGACTGGATGGGATGTATAAAAACTCGGGCGTGTCCTGTTTGGGGCGGAGTGAGGCACGGTGTGCTGGTGACAGGGCTCACCAGTGCTGTTTGCCGTTGTTTAATATACCAAACTGTGCTGACTCGTCCGCAATCCGTATGTCTTGAGGGACGCGTGAAAATGCACCGGTCTTCCATTTGGGCTTCAGTGAAACCTGCAACAGCTTGTACAACCCGCAATCCCCCCCTCCCCACCAAAAAACCAAAACAGCAAAAGACAGAATGAAAAAGCAAGACATAGAAACCCGATTTTGTAAAAGGCATCATGGTCAACACCTGGGTCCATCCTTGAGTTGAACCCAGGAACGACAACTCCAGCACTGGCTGCTACTGTTCCGACCGCATGCTCTGTGATCTGCTTGCGCAAGAGCAGTCTGCTCGTGGACGTTTTCCGGCCGGAGTCCCGAACCGGCCGCCCCCCGGACTTTCCCATCCGGTTTATGAGTAGCAGGTCAATGAAACCTCAATGCATGGCCCCGAGGTCGACGTACCAGTTCTTCTATCAGTGTCTATTTCAACATCCCCTGCGTTCTTTTGCGTTCTTTTGCGTTCTCTTGGTAGGCTCGCAGGAAGTTTCAGCGTGATTGGCAACAGGGCTTTCCCTTGTTACCGTGAACTGTTGACAAACCGGATGAAAGCCGATCGGTTTGGTTGTTTCCAGTCACCATGGCTGGTTGCTCCCGCGCATTCTGAAGCCTAGGGGCCCTGCGGACAGACATGTTTCACAGAAACCATTTGGCAAGTACAGCGCCGGCGTCGGGAAAATCGATTCTGCCGATATGTTTCGCCAGCTGACTTATTTCGAGCATGGAAGAGTTGTGAAGTACTTTTGGATACTCGTGGAATCGATTACTCTTGGTTTGCGGAATCGATTACTCTTGGTTTGCAACCGGCTGAAGTTATGACGGGTTCACAGATCGGACAAAGTTCACCTGTGAAGGATCTTTGCCCGCCTCATAGCTGCTTTATTTGGGTTGGGCCCTAGCTGTGCTTTGGGTGGCTTGACAGAACAGCTAAACCCTCACCATCATCTACAAAGGAGCTTCCTTTTAGCCTTGCAGTCGAGCTTGCAGGGGCCCTGCGTGTTCCAATTCAGCTCTATGTGAGTCTGTGTGTGTATGGCTGTTTTTGGTTGCGGGTAGCTTGTTTGGCGGTGGCAGCAAATGGAAAGCATATGGAAGCTTCAGAATTTTTTTTGGGACCCCCCTCACCAGACAAAGCCTTGCCACGGTTTTTGGAGGCAGCAGCACGTCATCGCCTGAGCTTGGAGGCTTGGGTGTTTTTTCGGCTTCGACTAGTGGCCAAGAGACCAGGACGACTTGGCCGAAGTCGGCATGAACTCACCCAAAAGAACAAGGTCCTTCAGAACATGCGCCTAGCCTGTTACACGGTCAACCGGCTGAGTTCAGCAGGTTGGATGTCCCCGGCTTCGGCGGAGGCAGCCAACAGGGGGAGCTGAATGAAGCTGGCGCCCTGCAAGGGAGCTGTTCGGATGTGTTAAATTATGCAGTGGAATCTCAACTTTGGGGGAGCACCATACCAATCAGGGGGAATCCCCTTTTGGTAAGGAACTGACCTATTTTAGGGGTTTCCCTTGAATAGCAGGGTCGTCCGGACTAACCCGGTTAAGTTTATAGTATGGCTGCGTACGGCCGCAATCAAGTTCACGGTTCATTCCGTTTTAAATGCAGACCTCCGGCTAACCCATGAACATTGACAGTTCATGGGTCAGATGACCTCGTGACCTTTCCTTTGCCGAATTGCCATGCCTCATGAACAGTCGCATGTTTTCCGTCCTTTTGCGACATCTGGTTTCCTCTCAGTACAAGAAGCATTCGAAACCTTTACCGCTAGAGGACGCCGCCGAGAACAGCGATGCAAAACCGTGAGCGTCGAGATAGATTGCTACTCTACGGAGTCCCTCGGTGTTGCAGGCAACATCATTGTAAGCCCGGCTTTCGTTGTTCCCTATTTGAAAGTGGCAAGTTGTTCAGTGGCACCTTTGTCTTTTGTGGCCTTCCCCACTAAACTCATGGAACCAGAGAAAAAAAAAAAAAAAAAACACAAACATCAAGGTTTTAATTTTTTTGTTTCTTGAACCGCTGAACATCACCTGCTTCCAATTTTTGGCACTCCGCGGGGTTGCCCGGGCTCCGGGCTGCCCATTGCCCAGGGGGTGTCGTTGGAGGACACGGGTGGCAGCCTGAGAAGCGGCTTTCCCTTTGGCCTGGGGCTTTGTTATCACGCGGAACAAAGGTGCTGTCGAGAAAAGACCGTTCTCAGTTTGAAGAAAGGGATGAAGCACTGCAAGAACATGGGAGTGCTGTGTGCGATTGTGTGTGTGTGTTGTGCGGCACTTTTTCCCCCCTCCGCCATACCTCAATGTTGCGATGTTTGGCATTGTTCCTGGCAGGAGCTTCTGAAGAAATGTCGAGCCATGGGCCGGGCTCAAGGCTCCATTTCAATTTGGCAAGAGCCACCTACAAGGTGCCCATTGAACCCAGAGGCATCAGTGACAAAGAGCAGCCAAAGTCCACACATGAACAGCTAGCGGGGGGGGTGGGGGGGGAAAGAGCATCGAAGGTACATTTGGTTGCTCTTTGGTCGGCCCGTGACTTGGGAATAAGGGTTCCTGCTTGACCGCATGACTGGCACTGAGGTGGGCCGAATGAGTTGTTTTCCCTGGCGGTTGTCTGGCTCATGTCCTTGGGCTTCAGCCTCCCTGAGCCCCAACCCTGCGATTCGCAAAATGGGAGCCCCTTCGGTTTGAAACAGGTCGACAGATCATTGATGAGGACTTCTGGCACCGGATCTTTCAGGAGAGCAAGAGTCACTGAGCTGTCTGAGGGGCTAATGCCTTGGAGTCGGCGGGCTCTCTCTTAGAATGCGGTTACCACTGAAACTTACAGTACACCGCACTCTTTTGTGGATGAACCTGCCACGCCAAAATCGAAAACCGCACGGGATGGATGCCCTTGGGCAGTTGGAACGTGGCAATACATCGGTGCGTATGCGCATGCTCGACACTTTGCCAATTTCGACGGAAAGAATTGATTTGAGGCAGAAGGTGTGGAGTGACCTCTAGCTCCCAACTCAGGTCATGTATGCCTATGATGGTTTTACGAGGTGCGGCAATAGCCATGCCTGTCACTTGAGGCTCGTAGAAATTATTGGTCTGAAATCAGCCATTCGCAACAAGTTACTCATGGATTTCGGGCTTTCCGATTGCATGGCTAGTTTGCAGCAACTCATTCAACAACTGCTTGCAATCAGGAAACGGCGTAGGTTAAACGCCGACATCGGATTAATACATCTAATTTGAATGTGTCTTTGTGTCTGAGTTGGAGTGGTAGCCAAGGAGCTCTACGATTGCCGTATGCAAGTTTCAGCAGTTTTTGCTGGGCAGGAGATTGAGTCCAGCCCGGCAGAGAGCTACAACCTCAGGCCCAATGCCAGTACCATGAAGGCTGGACCACACTGGGCATAGGCCTCCCTTCTGTCATGAGTTCGCGGACCTTCTACTTTGTGTGAGCACTATTTTGGTGGCAAACATGCAGTTTGGCATACTCAGGGGATGAGTCTCGGTGGAGGTTTCAGTTGGCTTCTACTCATTTATCATTGCCATCGGTTTGGACCAAAGGACGTGTAGGGTCAAGAGATGCGCTTGTTTGGCTTCGGGAAATGGCAGCCAAACAAACGTCGATCACTTGGGGGGACCCCTGGAATTGTTGACATAATTTGGGACCCCATCTCCCTCTTGAGATAGGGGAATTCCATCCATTGCCATCGTGTGAGGGAGATGCCGCACCAGGGTGATTTCAATGCACACCCCACCCTCTTTTTCTTTTGTTTTGTGGGTTCCCTGCTAAACATGCCACTGAGCAAATTGTTGGTGGGCCTGCTTTGCATTTGCTGGCCTTGCAGCAGCATTGGCCAGACAAGGCTGGAATGAGTACGCGGCGCGCCTGCACATCCCCCGATGGTACGGTCCTTCCCATTGAGGTTGAGCAACACGTGGCACCCTCTTTCAAACAATAATGGAAGTGCACTTCCCGCAAAGGAGGGTATTCCAAACCCCTCTTGTCAGCTTCCATGATCGTTGCAGGTAGGGACACCGTTACCAAACAAAATGCGTTCTCTAGAGTCAGCTGCCGGAGTGAAACATGTAGCAGTTGCATTTGATCCATGTGATGCTTTGTCTCTCAGTTTGCATATACGTTGTGATCCATGATCTGATGCCATAAAACGATTACATGCTGTTTTGTGAACAACATGTACTCAAATGAGGGCAACGTCGAAGACTTGAAGATATACCGAGAGGGCTTAGCAACACTCCAACACCAACTAATGCAAGATGCGTGAACTTCCGCCAATCCTACGACACAGCTGCACAATGAGCGGAGCCTCCCTGAAATGAAGGAGCCAATATTTTCCAAGTGGACAAACCACGCAATGCCCTGTGGTTGCATGCGAGTTCCGGGCTTGTTTGATCATATTTGGAGCACTGTTGCTGAAACACCCTACTTTCCTGTTCGCAAAATGCCATAATTTCCCTTTGAGGCCAAAATGGCTTTCTGAAATATGCCTGGTGCCGACTGCCGCAAGGAGCGGCAAGGCTCACGGGGCCTCAAGAACTTCAACAACTTGGCCGGCGCACCACGTCTTCAGCCGTCGCAGACCACCCGGGCAGGGGGCGACCCCGGAGATCCTCATTTACGTTACTGTTTCCCGTTCATGAAGACTACAACGCTGGATGGTTGGGTGACCCGAGCTGCCACGCCCCGCCTCCTCTTTATCGTAGGGGTCATTGAGATGGACAAGTTGTTTGCCCTCTTTTGTTGGGGTGGGGCAACGAGGTTTGGGTGCGTTGGCTGCAGGAGGTCATGGGTGTTGTGCTTTCGTTCGCCAGGCGTTAGCAGCAAGTTTCAGAGCTTGATAGCTCATTGCGTGCAATTATTGCGGGATTGTTGGGGCTTCGCTGCGCAAAGAGGCCAGGCACAAAAAACACCTGTGGCTTTGGCAACGCATTCATATATTGCGTCATGAGAAGGCAAACTGCCGGGGTTCCCTATGAGGGAGGCACACCTGGTGCCTGCTATTGGGACCGAAGCCTTCCGAAAGAGAGGCGGCCTGGTATTTCTCACGTTGAAGCCGCTTGTTGAAGAGATATTGTAGTGACCCTACGTTCTTTGCGGCTGGGACGTGCTGCAGAGGTGCCCACTTCATTACCAACGCAGCCATGCATCATAGACCGGGTAGGTATGTTAAAATCTTCCTCCCGGAGAACACGTTGCTGTCCGCTGGCAAGCCCCTCCTCCGTGCACACAGTAGCCCACACTTGGAACATGCGTCAGCCCCACCACGCCTCTCCCTCGAGCTCCCTCAAAGCAAAGTTTGACGTCTGGAACCTTGCGACGTCACGTTCTTTCAGAGAAGTCTATATACACATTGAGCTGCTGCCGTGAAGTGTTGGGGGGATAGCGGACGCTTCCACAGTCATGAGTCATGGTAGTCTCAGCTGGGCAGGGCCCTCAAAACCTCTGAGGGAAAGGGGGGGATGGGCCAGCGGCCAGGTCAAAGATGTTCTCATCTGCTGGGCTGTGCAGCAGGCCAGGTCTGGCCCTGTTCAAAGAACGCTGCGTATCATCCAGCTCACATTGCTTGCCAAGCAAAATTTGAACTCCGAAATGTCCTTCACTAGGTTAGTTTTATTCGTGCTCCAATGTCACTTCTTGTCTGTGCAGTCGCAACATGCCGGGCCCAAGTATTCCAAAGTAACATAGCTCGTTTGCGTGGGTTTCATTTTGATGCATGTGGTACATGTTTCCTTTGTACCAGGACTCTTTTCTTTGGCCAGGGCTGCCAACCCCTTGTGATGAGTGGGCTTTTGAAGCTGGGCTGGGTCTACCATCAAACCGACGATCCCGTGTTCACCCCTCCAAGCATGAATGACTCCAATCCTGCGCGGCGGATAGCGCAACTGAGCTAGCCTGGCCCCATGGACCCCTGCTACCCCAAGTGGTGAGTGGCGGTCGGTTGGTCTTGTGCATTCCGATGCATGCTTGCACACATTGGGGCATCATTCGTAGACTAGGATTGTCGGACCCCCCCCCCCCACCAACCCAATTGCACCAGCACCCCCAAGCTTAGAAATCCAATTTTGGTTGATGCTCCAAATGGCCTCAAGGCTGCTCATGCATGCAAGTGCCCAAGCCCCCCTTCTCAGGGCTCTTTGTTTGCCACTTCTTTGGGAAAGATTGGGCTCCATGCCTCACCATGAATCAAGCACCACTTTTCGGGGGCACCCACCATGCGTTTGCCCGAGTTTGCCCCAGGTTCTAGCCTTAAACGAACCGTCATTTTCCCCCTCCCCCTCAAGCTGTACCTTTTGACTCCTTCTGACGCTCTTTTTTGCAAAGGTTACGCAACCCTCGAAACACGAGCGACCCCCATGTGAGGCGGTTCAATTTTATGTGGAACAGAATCGAACGAGGTTTTTAACAGGCAAGGCTAAACAACGAGCAGGCCATAGCCTGTTTCAGCGGAAACTTTGTTCTAATCGCAAGTTGGTGTTTAAACAATCGCTGTTCCACTACCTGCTCCAAATACCCCTCTTGTGGAAAGCCTGGTTTTCCAGGGTAAACACCTTCTTGTTCGGTCGACATCATACCGTGAAAAAACAGGCATTGAGTATCAGGGGGCAATCTTAAAGCACAAACGAATTCGAAGCCCCGCGAGATGGGCTGACTCTCAGGTTGCCGCTCCTGCTTCGGCGGTCTGCCCGGCATGGCGAGGCAAATCCAGATGGGTTTGTGCCCAAATGGTTGGGAGGGCTACATGGGCCCTGACGGCGCGAAAGGTTCAAGTCAAAAAGCCTTTGGACTTTCTCGATGTGTTTGAGTTGTTTTCTTTCGGGTGGCGTAATCAGGACTGAAGTCATTCACGAATTCAGCACGTTCAGGGTTTTTTTCCCCGACCTTGCGCTTTTTGTTCTTCCGACATGTTGACTTGTCGACTCTTTTTTAAGCTTTTGACTTTTCGGGACCTTTCGGAACTTGTTCATTTGTTCATGACCGCAACTTTTGAACTTGCGACTTTTCGACTTTGCGCGACGTTTTGCGATTTCAGGGTTTTTCAATGTTGGGACGTTTCAACTAGTTGACTGCTTCTACCTGCTTTTTGCTCAACTGTTCGGGTTGTCGTTGTTTTCTTTTCGCTTTTCGACTTGCCTGGCAGTTTTCGTAATTCTACTAATCGATATGTGTGTAACTTCCTTTGTTTTCCATCTCTGTTTCCACTTTTTAAGTGTTCGTGGGCTGTCGTGAAATTTCAGACAACGCGTTTCGTTTTCAGAATGCTTATTTTTTCGTCCAACAAAAAACGTGGCAGCAGTCCTTGGGCCTTCCTTTACAGCTTAGCCAGAACAAACAGGGCGAACAGAGCCAGCAATTGACGCACTCCTTGTTGTCCGGCGTGGACTCCCGCTTTGGAGAGGTCTTAGTGGAAAGTAGTGATGGGAGGTAATTCATTATGTCGCTTCTATTGAACGGCCATGCTTTTTTAGTGTTCTTTGTCAGCGATTTTGAAGGAATTCGTCAAGGTGATGTTGTTTGTTTGAATTGTATGCGGGCCTAATGCAGGCGCGTTCCGAAATGTTACGCTACACTAGTAGTCCAAGGGGTTCAATGCCAATACTCGCATGTCAGATGCCACCCGCTTATCAAGCCAGCGCCCTGTCCAACTCCAAAGATCCCTAGATGCAGTTCCATGAGCGGAATAGAATCAGTAAACTATTTGAGGAAAGTTTGTGTGTTTTCCAGTAGTAAAAACGAGAGAAATTGAACATACCAGACACGGCTTAGTTATCTTGCTGCACGCGTGTAGGCGTTCATAGCCACTTTTTTGACAGGGGAGCTTGTCGCGTCTAAGGCACCGCGTAGGCTTGACTTGGCGTTAGCAACTCCAACCACGTAGACGCGCGTAGGGATTTTAAGGCTGATATAATATACCTCGCGGTCGCCACTCTGCTCATTGCCATGGTAATCACCTATTTGTAAGACTATGCGCGTCCTCCATGATTCATAACATGAGATGCAAACGGGCTAGTCGCTAGAATTGGGTGGGGTCAAGCCGCACCGGGTTGTGTAAAGTCGCATCCGGCTGAGCTGTGACGGAGGTAACGTAGCAAGATTCCGGAGCGGTTTCCTGTCAAGATGATGAACCTTGTGCTACGGATGACAGATTGGGGATACCTTCATTTTGCATATCCCAGCCACCCCTTCCGCTCGAATCCAATAGGACGCACCTTTTGCCATGCCAGGTACATGTGCTGGATGTTGCCAGCGGCCGCGGTGGCGACCAAATGAAGTTTGGGAAGGCCCCAGTTTTTTCCTTTTCGTCTGCTGGATTCGCTGAAAATGGTCAACCCCAAATAGGTTTCTTGTTTTTTTCCCACTTAGCAACGGGTCGAGATTTATTTTGGGATTTTTTGCTATATTTTGTGTTTTCCGTCTTGGCCAGTAAAATGCTGTATTTTACAGCATGCTTCACGAAATGTGCGTATTTTACGCTAGCCCGTCAACATCATCAGCATCGTTTTCAACATCCGCATGTCCAGCCAACATCCCCAGCATCATCAGCAAATTGAGGGCGTCCTGCATCCTCATCATCATCAGTTCCTCTCGGGCAAGGTAGGTAGGTATTTATATATGTATGCATCTTAAAAAGCAGCGGGCGGGCCCCCTCATAATGGTAAAAGTGAGGATTCAACTAGCCCCCCCATGATGATCGAAAAGTGATGACGCAATCAGGGGCAAAAAATCTAAAAAGTAGCGGGGCGGTTGGAAAAGTGATGACTGAACTTGGGCAAAAAATCTAAAAGTAGAGGGGGGGTTGGAGGGGGGGGAATAGCGCCTTGGTGGGGGGGGGGGTTGCGGCAGGCCCCCCATGATTTTCGCAGAACTGCACACGAGGGGGCAGCCCCGCTCCATGATGATTGAA